TGGTCCATATACACATCTTCGAGTAATATTGAAATCCCTCTATACATGTGGAAGTTTTGCTCCGGACAAGCATTTTTCAATGAGCTCTAAGTGTGACCTTGACCTTTGACCTAGAGACCTGGTTCATGTGCGCGACACTGCTCCTCATAGTGGTGAACATTTCTATGAAGTTTCATTAAAATCCCTCCATACATGTAGGAGATATGCTCCGGACAAAATTGGACGCCACCCGCCCGCCCGCCAGGGGCGTTCCCATAATACGTCCCGTTTTTCAAACGGGCCTATAAAAAAGCATAATTCAAATGAGTTTTATTTTTTCTGCATTCTTAAAGTCATTGAGAATATATTAATAATGTATTTTTGTATATTAATGTATTTAGGTCATTTAAGTTCAGCTTACCAAATGGAGAGCACTGGGTTAAGTGTTATCAATATTTTGTTTAAAGTTTATCTTTTTTATCTGTATATATTTATTTACAACTTGTTACCTGATAAATATCAAAATTCAGACATCTGATTGGTTAATTTTGATCGACTCATTTAAACATTCAATAGTGTTATTTTAAATCATGATGCTATTTTTTTCTGCTCATATATCAAAGGTCTGATCACATTCACGATAATACTGATTAATGTAATAATTGAGCCGCGTCATGACAAAACCAACATAATGCGTTTGCGACAAGCATGGATCCAGACCAGCCTGCGCATCCACACAGTCTGATCAGGATCCATGATGTTTGCTATCAGTTTCTCTACTTGTTATAGGGTTTGTAAGCGAACAGCATGGATCCTGATCAGACTGCACAGATGCGCAGGCTGGTCTGGATCCATGCTAGTCGCAAACCCATTATGTTGGTTTTGTCATGACGCAGCTCATATATACATGTTATAATGCTGACTTAACCCTTTTCTTGCTGAATTTGTGTAATGGTCAGTCAGGTACATGTAGAACTGCACATCTATCAAACATGCTAGCCTGACTTTGAGACTGGCTTCATACTTGTTTTAGGAAAAGTCAATCACTTTTGATTTGATAACTTGAATAAATTTCATTCCAATGTTTATTTTAAATGTTTCACAAAATGGAAGAATACCAGAAACTGTAACAGTATATAGGAGTGTGGATCTGAGCACTATTACTTACTGTCATAATATCATACATGTCCTAATGTCACATGATCTGTTAGCAGTAATGTTTTGTAAAGTGTAAATTATTCAAGGTGAGAAGCGTGTTTTTGATTGATTCAAATATTAACATGTAATTTTGGGGCTAAAATAAAAATTTTATTAACAACTATTATTGTAAGACTATATTGTACTAAATTTGCTCAGTAAAAGTCTTACTGAGCAAATTTAGACTAAGAGCAAAAGCAATTACATTCATTGTTACAGTTTAGAGAAAGTAAAAATGGATAAACTGATTAGCAAAGCATAACATTAGTTTGATCAGAAACTAGCTCATGTCTCATATGTCAAAATATTTGATATTTTCACATTGTACAAATGTATATTCATTGAATTGTTCAGGGCTGAAAATTGGTATATGCATTTAACTCTGACAGTATTTTTTTTCCAGCATTTAGTTTTGTTATTGTAGTAGTCATTGAATATATCAGTGACATACTTTTTTTTCCTAAAAAAAATTACATTCAAGTTATTGATATAGACGTACATCAATAACAAAAACAGTTTTATTCCTGTCATGGTTAAAAAGGCAATTGAGTCCCTTTAAGCCCGTGCAGAAAATATTTCCTGTTCTCAGGAAGTCCCAGGAAATCCCAGGATTATCCCAGGATTTGTTTGCTACCTCTTAACAAAAGTCCTGTTTATAGGATATCTCAAGACTTTTGAACATACTGAACAGGACAAAACAGGAATTGTCAGGACTTTAATCTTACCAACAGGAAAAAACAGGAAATCTCAGGACTTTTATTTTCAAATATGTCCTGAGGACAGGAATTATCAGGACTTCATTTATAGTGAAGTCCTTTAGTCAAAGACAAGAAAGATATTTTCTTAGAAGGCCTTTCTGTAAACTGAAAAGTAAGAAGTCTTGTTAATTCCTGTTCTTTAGACAGAGGAATAAATGAAATAACTTTTGTGAGCCTTTTTATTACTGAGCAAAGCTAATAAAAAATGCTAAGTATAAAAAATGAGAAAAATTGATAAAATATATTGAAGTCGGTTTGTAATAGTTTTCTTTAACACAATGGGTATCAAAATACTCAGAATTTAAAATTCTATAATCTTAGACCTTAATCACAAACAATTAAGAAAAAATTGCTAATTGATTTTTGAACATAGCAAGGAAATTATTTTTTATATTTAATAAGATATTGTAATAGGGAAAATCAAATATACATGTATATAACCTGCACATAATTTTGGCACATATTCTGAGCGGAATAGGGACAGAATTGGCATGGAATCAGTGATTTCTGTGTGGACCATGGAAAGAAATGAAATTCTGTCATTCCATTTCAAAACAAAAACAATTCACATAAAAGTTACCCAAAGCATTATTCTACTCTAGTTTTTTTTTTGCATTTACAAACATTGAAATGTATATGTTTTCAACCTATTGTACTTCTTACAGTACTTTTTCTTACTCAAGCTCATGTAACTGTCATTTTTATCTATTTCAAATCAAGGAACCAATATGCCTGATAATTGCATACACTTAGGACACCCACTTAGATATTACACCACGCAGATCAAAGATCTGATAAAACTGGCCACCTTTGTTCTCCCACCATAATGTGCATGACTGATTTACTCCCTGGTCATTCCTACTAATCAGACTGTTCCATGTGATTATTTTGGGGAGAGGTAACATTACAAAGTTGAATGATATGCAGAATATGTCTAGGACATTGCAATTTTTCTTCTTTATTAAATTCATGATTTTTTAAATCTACTTATCTATTAGCTATTTGATGTTGTTTTTTACATTCAATGAATGTTATATAAAATGATAACTGCTTTGATTTTTGGATTAACCCTGTTTTACCTAATGATGTACCTGTCCAGTTTGAATGGTCAGCTAGAAGCTTGGAAATAGTGTAAATTACAGAGGAGACTACTTCCTGTTTAAGCAATTTTGGAGATATAGTTTTGTTTAAGATGTTAAGGTGTTTAAGTTTAATAAGTGTAGTTATGGTTAATAAGAATGACAAGAATCAGAATCACCTTGGACAAGGAGATATACAACAGAATGAGGTAATTAAACCTTTAGTTACATTTGTACAGAAACAGTTTCTTCTTTAAATTGATATATGTATATCAAACAATCAAGGTAGCAAATTAAAATTTGTAACCACTTCATACATTGATTTACTAACAATTGATTTAAATCTAGATTTGATTGTCACATTAATTTGTAACATATATAATATACAAAATAGCATATAAATAGATAGATTGTCTTTTTTATTTCTGCAAGTTAAAATAATGTGAAACAAATTAAAATTATGAGAACTAAATGGTACAGTTTTATACACACCTGTCAGTAAGTTTTGTGGAGCTGAATAAGACAGGGTTATCATAATTATTTATCATTCTATGTGTTGTTTTCAATGGAAAAATCTGATATTAGATTTCAAACAAATTGCAGGCTTTAAAGTGGGGCCAGTTCTGAGTCTGACTCTGAGATGCTAGGTGAATAATGATGTGCAGTATTGAGCCCCAAAAGGTATGCTTTATTTTTTTAAATAACTATATTTGACTATTCTTAATCTTTCCCAGAAGAAAATAATAGTTCATTGCACAATTATTTGAAACCATTTGTTACCTTTCTTTTAAAATTCTTATTTTAATGAAAGTTGCATTTAAGTTCTTACCTTGGTTGAATTTTACATCCAACTTCTAAGCAACAAATTATTCTGCAACCAAATAGTACTAAGCATTATAAGTGTAAAGTTTCTTTCTCAATGAAACAATGGCTTGCTGACAGGGTTTAAACAAATATGGCAAGGAATCCTTAGATTACTGGTCTGATTTGTTAACCTGCATTTGGCCATGCCACCTCTTGTGTTTATATTGCATGTAAAGTTTTATGACATCACTGCTTATTTGATATTTTCAACAAAACCTTTTTCTTCTCCATTACAATGAACAAATCTTATTTTTGAAATAAAAGACAATTAAAAATCAGAACACATTTCTTCTTTAAATTGATTTTTTTAAAGAAAGAAGTCAAAGTCTTGATGTAGGCAGGTTAAATGCAGGGTGAATATGTCATTTCTTAAAAATCACTTGAACAAGGCTTCATAAGTATTAGGGACCTTTTTCTTCTCATGCTAATTATATGCACATTTTTGTTAAATTTGATAATGCTAAGGGGGCTAGAATTTGGTTTATTTATACAAACACATTATGATAAATAATTGTTAGACTGCTTAAAAGAATAGAACTGTACTTGACAGTCACTCAGTATTGCTGAACATGTCTTTTTTTCCAGAAATAATGAAGGAGTCAGAGTGTCAATCAGAGTGCCAACGTTGTTCAAGGCTGGGAGATAGTCAGCTGGGAGCCTGAGAGCAAAATGACGTAAATGCCATGCAGGGAAAGTTTGTTAACTTGTAAATCAAAGCTAGCTTCTAGATGCCATCACAGTCAAACTTTTCAGTGTATTTTTTCTCAAATCTTATAAACTTTCCTGGATCTTAAGTTCTAATTTGCTGACATTGGAAATAGTGTGTGATTTTTTTCATAATAAATTTTTCTGTTCTAATCCCTTCAATTATATGTAATAATTGTATACATATAAAATGTAAAATATGATGAAATATTAAAATAAATATTTTTAAACTAACTAAATTTGTGCTTTAAATTAGTATTTCAAAGCAGCATTTATTTAAATATCAGCTTTTACTGTTTTCTACATTTCTACATGTCTGTCCTGGGGACAGGACATTTATAAGATAATGAGACTGTCCTGGGAACAGGACATTCCTGGGATTACAGGACTGTCCTGGAGACAGGACATTCCTGGGATTATGGGATTGTCCTGGGAACAGGATTTTCCTGGGATTACAGGAGATTCCTGGGATTACAGGACTGTCCTGGGAACAGGACTTTCCTTGGATTATAAGACTGTCCTAAGAACAAGACATTCCTGGGATAGCAGAGCAATATTTTTTCCTGTTCTTTCCTGTCTTCAAGAAATTCCTGGGATTGTCCAGTCCCATTTAACGGCGTGAAAAAGTCTCAGGATTATCTCAGGAAATCCTGGGATTTTTCCAGGACAAATTCCTGAGACTTCTCAGGAATTCCTGGGATAGTCCCAGGACTTCTTGTTCATTTTCTGCACGGGAAGGTTTTTGGTGTGCTGTTTTGTGTGTGAATCATAAAATAAGAATGGTAGAAAAAAAATCACAATTTTCCTTTCATTAGTATAGATTTAGCAGTTTTTATTTAAGGTGACCCATTTAGAACATTAGAGAAGAAGGTAAAAGAAAGAAGAAGGTAAAAGAAATGAAGAAATAAAAAATCATTTTTTTTTTTTATTTCAGTGGAGTTGGATTATCAGTTGCAGACCGTTTGCTGTCGGAGCATGAATGTATACATGTGTGTCTGGCATGTCGCAACAAGGGTCGTGCAGAGAACGCCAGAACAAGACTTATGAGACGTCATCCTGATTCAGATATATCCATCGTCATAGTTGATACAAGTTCTGTCGAGTCAGTTATAAGGGCTTCAGAGGAAATAAGGAACAAGTATAATATGTCATATTACACGACTGTAAATTGAATTTTTTTCGACAAGAAATTCTTTTGTGCAGCTTTTTTAAAATTCATTTTCTTTTTGGGATTAACTTTTAAGTCAAACTTACACTGAAAAGGTAATATGGCAACATTTCAGCTTTACTGGTGATTTTTGGAAGACTTAAAGTGCCCCAGATTATATTTCAACAAAGTAAAAAGCTAACATTATCTTCAGTGAATCAAGAACATATTTTTTTTCGAACATGATACCTTTTAGTGTTTAATTGATGCACACAAGACCTTGATTTATATGTTAAAGGGACCTGAGATCTTCATGAAAATATGAACACTTTATACTTTTGAATGATATTAAAGGGCATATTAAGATAGATATTAATATAAAACCAACAACACCACAATGAATAACTTCATAGAAATAAATATCACAATATTTCCCACATTGTTTTTTTTTAAAAATCATGAATGTATTTCACTGTTGTATTTCAGGTTTACAAGACTTGATTATATATACTTGAATGCAGGAATAATGAAAGTTTCCAGTATAAATTGGTCTAAAATTATAGCTATATTTTCAAGGTAAGTGATTTTCCTATTGCTTAGTTAAAGAAAGTCTTTATTTCAAGTATTTTAGAATGTAAATAAAATGGTGAGCTAGTTATCTACTAAAAGGTAAAATATATTTGAGTTTTTGAATATTTACTTTTTGACAGCCTATCACAGTATGTGCAGTTTGACAAAGTTAAGTGAAGACATCTTGGATACTTTACTTCCAGTAAAGGAGTGTCCGTTGTCCAGTGGTTAAGGTGGTTGACTTCAAACCACTTGCCTCTAACTGCTGTAGTTTTCAGTGGTGCCAGTGGCTCCAGATCATTATATGTGAGAAAGCTAGTAATCCAGCTAGCTTATGAAATATTGGTGGTTCTACTCAGTTCTCTGTTTGTGCCTGAATTAATGCACACAGGGGCAATATTGTGGTCTTCTCCACCAATTAAGCTGGAAGTTGCCAAATGACCTATACTATGTTGGTGTGATGTAAAACCCAACCATAAAAAACCTCTTCAGGTGATAATGTTCAGTTGTTGTATCACATGGCTAATTACATATTTAAAAATATGGTTGTAAAATTTACAGGGAAGAACTGAATATCAGAAGGATTTTTATTGGTCATCTTAAAATTACAACTGAAATCTGGGAATCTCATTGGCCATTCTGAAATTAGTATAATTATCTAAAGGATCTTTCTGAAATGTATACAGGTCCAAATTATAAAATAATATAAAGGAGTATCGGAAACAAACTTTCTTGTTAAATTGCTCAGACATTTTAGATCTGTGTCTGAACTTCCTCCCAATAAATATTTTACACTGCTTTAGAATTTTCCATTAATTCTAAAGTGAATATCTTATTCAACTATAGAATTTACCAAGTTATAAATGACATTCTAAAATGACAAGACTACCTAATAATGTCCATGATCCCAGAAGAACATTGTGCATACTGAAAGACAAGTAAAAGCAGTTTTACCTTGTCTGAGTTATGAAACAGTGGTTGATGACATTTTTAACGATATTTTCTTCTTACTTATTCTTATTGTAATTTGTTGTGATTTTTGTTGATGTTGTATTTAGTGAAGGTGTACGAATATTGAGTACTGGCTGGGGAGTACTGAACCACATCAACGAGACAACACCAGAAGGCCTTCAAGAAATATTTGCTACAAATCTCTTCGGACATTTTGTTATGGTAAACTTTTGTAACGTCTCATTTTCAGAATATTTCCTTATATTTTTGATAAACAGATTTAACTTATATCAATTTTAACATAAGAAACCCAAATTATGGAAGGCGGATGGTTTAATTGTAACTCAGGCTTAAAATTATGTAAGCACCCAAGGTCTTTCTTTGCCAAATCAATTAAACTGGCAAACCCCTAGTTGGTGTGATTCAAACTCATAACATGTCCGGAAAAACATGTAAAATACACAAAACCTTCAGATGTTACAAGTTTACTTTTATAAACACAAGTTGTTAGTGCAGTAATGAGTTAACTATTAAATTATATGAGGACTTAACCTGTTACTGCACTAAGGTGACAACCTGTCTTTGCTACCACATTTTACTGCTAGCTTGGCCAGCTTGCACATCCATTTAGTCAAGACAGATACTGCTGGCTGTTCAATTATAACACTTTTATATCGAAATTCTTTGATATAACAATGGATAATATAATTGTTAATATAACAATTATACAAATATAAAGATAAAATTTTAATGTGTAAATTTTAAAATATTTGTAGGTAAGAGAACTGGAGGATTGTTTAGGCAAAGCTCAGGAAACACAAATTATATGGACATCATCACAGAATGCTAATTCTGATGACTTTAGCTACACAGATATACAACATAGAAATGGGTATAGTTATAGTATGAACTTTATATCTTTTCTTAATGTTATGTTTTAGTTTTGGAAAAAAATTTACTGTTACAAAGTTCAGGGCTCGACATTAAAGTTGTCCGACTGCTCGGGGCAACTAAAAGTTTGGTCCGGGCAAGTTATTTTGAAAAGCACTTGTCCCACAGGGCACGTGAAAATAAAGCATCATTGACAAAATGCATGTACAAATTAAATAGAAAAAACGTCTTTTCATTTATAAACATCTGTAAAACAAAATTACACCATGAATCATTATCAATAATGTGAATACACTACGGTTATGTACATTTGTTTGTATAGAAAAGGAAGCAAAAATATGAGCATGCGCCGCGGTAAGGTTAAATTCCCCGTTCTTATAATAGATTATATCTACTTTTGTACAAGGTAATTATAATTCCCGGGTCATGCTGTCGTTTTAATTTTGGATGTGTGCATGTAAAGATAACATTGAAAATATGTAAATAATCGTATTGATCTTTAAATATAATTTTTAAATAAAGTTTTTGCATTAAAAATGATTTATTGTTTTATCTAATTTAACGACATTATGAACATAGTCAACGAAGACTAGTTTACGGCTGTTGACATCAATTTGTCGTTATTAGCCAGGATGATGTTTGATGAACTGATGTTTTAGATAAACTACTGAATACAAAAAATATTTATATCTAACTTACAATCAATTTCATAAACAATATGTCCAGTTTATTGCCTTATGTTTTCTGATTTACACATTTTTAATTTTTTACCATTTTTAGGTCAGGACAAGTAAGTCTTAGGTCAGGGCAAGTAGTTTTTAAAACTACTTGCTTGACAGGACAGCCTGATTCAAAAGTTAATGTCTAGGCCTGTTGTTAAATACTGAAAGTGATAAAAAATATATGTAAATGATGAGAGGGGTGAAAAATAGTTCAGTATTCATGGACTATTCCTTTGAGATATGCATGAAGTCAAAATGTCCTTAACATTATCTTCATTATCAGAGAATAGAGACAAGGCTTTTCTACTGTTATATCTTTGTATCAAGTTATCACTTGGTTCAAGCTTCAAATTCTTTCATGTGAGGAGCCTATCCAGATAGTTACGGAATGTCTTAGGTTCTTATACTCGAGTGTCTGTCTGGAAAGTCCTCATAGTATTATGACCTATACTGTATTGTACCAATATAAACCCAAACCCCAAAAAATGTCATCAACCACTGTTTCATATCTCATCATCACTGTTTCATATCTAATTACATGCAACCACTGTTTCATATCTCATTAACCACTGTTTCATATCTCATCAACCACTGTTTCATCTCATTAACCACTGTTTCATATATCATCATCACTGTTTCATATCTAATTACATGTAACCACTGTTTCATACCTCATTAACCACTGTTTCATATCTCATCATCACTGTTTTATATCTCTTCATCACTGTTTCATATCTCATCAACCACTGTTTCATATCTAATTAACCACTGTATCATCACTGTTTCATATCTCATCAACCACTGTTTCATATCTCTTCATCACTGTTTCATATCTCATCAACCACTGTTTCATATCTCTTCATCACTGTTTCATATCTCTTCACCACTGTTTCATATATCTTCACCACTGTTTCATATATCTTCACCACAGTTTCATATCTCATTAATCACTGTTTCATATCTCATTATTCACTGTTGCCCAAAGTCCAGGATTAATAACTCTAGCATGGGTTTTGATTAAATTGTAGTGTACATGTTGACCATTGTTATCTTAGAAAATTCCTGATGTGAGTCAATCCACTAAACTTCTATAGATATTCACTTGAAACTTTTAGGTTGCAAGTGTAAGTCACTGTCAAAGGCCCTTAACTCAGTTTTGATTCTTACAGAATTAAGCCCTTTTAAAACTTAGAAAATAACAGATGAAAGTTTTGCTTGCAAGATATTACAAAAAGAGTTTCTAAAAAAAGCTTTTCAAGCTTCCTACTCAATCCGTACTATTTATTATTTGTCAATTATCATTTAAATGTAATGTTTATAAATAAAATATAAAATGTTTAAACTAAGATTTTCCGAATATCCACAAGCACTGACGAAATACATTATAAGATTAACTTTACAACTATCCAAGGTATTTACTTGAAACTTCACTTATAAATGACTTCAGGTTTACAATTGATATTCAGATTCTGAGAATGATAACTTTGTATTTGATGTGGATTTTGAATGAAATCTCATCATTTTTTGTGAATTTCTACATTACCCTTGTAGGCTCTTGTTTTGTTATCTACACCAAGAATGTAGTAAAAACTACTGTCAAATGTTCCCTTAATT